TAAATCAACGATGACTTCAATGACACTCAGAAAAGCAAAAATGTAATGCGCCAAACAGAAAAATCAAGAGAGGAAATCACGAAATAAATTCTATGGGGCACCGGGGGGTTGTGAACACACAACAAAGGAACAAACTACACAAACAACTCCGAGAAAGTCCAGTCAGTCTCCTACAAAAGGAAAGATGACGTTTGGAGACTATCACCCCACCCCGTTCTAGTTGAAATGGTATAACCCAAGAGGTGCTTTGCTACTGTTACCAGCCTTGTCTTGTGTCGTTATTAAACAAACACATGACGGAAGTCCGACAGAGCACGAAAGCAACGCATTCTCGCCATACGTAATCAACTCTTCTCATGCGTAGCGAGGCTACTCCCCCCTCGCAAACGAGCATTTGCTCCGGAGAAAATTGTAGCGTTCACACGTGCAAATTTACATCGGTGCTGCGCCGCAAACGAGCATTTGCTCTGGAGCAAATTTTTAAACCACCTCCCTGAGGTGGATCAAATTTGGTCCGGTGTAAGCTGTTTAGCGGTGCTACGCCGGAGCAAATTTGCACATGTGAACGCTCAACTGGCGCAGCGCCGGTGCTGTGTCGGACCAAATGTTGCCGTGTGAACACCCCTATTGTTTAATGTCATGTTTCTGTTTTGGTGCCATCCGTTTGAACCACAAAGGTTGAGTCTCTTCCAAAGAAAAATACAAATGTGATATGAATCTGCCTGTATTGTGGCACAAGTGAGCCAAGTGATCAGCCGCTTTCTCCTGTAGCCGACACACGCAACAAATCGGTTCAAGATGGCGATCGCGGGTAGTTAGATGGTTGTTAACAATCAATCTTTCGGGTGGCAAGCACACACCCAGACTTGGATATTTACCGGTATATAGGAATTATTGAACATCAGGTTCTGTTCCACAAGTGAAACTGACTTGTGCTTTGTAGATATGACACTGGCAAAGATGGATTCATCGACCTAATGGAGCTCAAGCTGATGATGGAGAAGCTTGGTGCCCCACAGACTCACCTGGGCCTGAAGAACATGATCAAAGAGGTGGATGAGGACTTTGATGGAAAACTTAGCTTTCGAGAGGTGAGCGTGCTTGAACACTCTCTTGCCCGTTGAATGCTAGGATATGCTGATTTGCTTTGCCATCAAGTCACACTTTCAAACAGAATTTTATGAACAAAGTACAGACAGATTTATTCGGGGCGTAACTCCCCCCCCCCCCCAAAAAAAATTCCAATCGGAAAATCTGTCTAAATTTGACAACCCCAATTGGTGTATTTTAACATCGCACATCATGTATCAAGGTGCATATCGTCTTTTCTGAGAGACACCAGTTTGACGTTGCTGGTGATTTGATGTTTCATCGAATTAATATTAACTTAGACAGTTTGGGCTTGGGGGGGCTTTTACATGCTGTTGCATATTAATAAACATGACAAAAGCCCATTTGGAATTGTAATCCCACTGAATCGAACCAAATTTGAATCGTTACATCCTTGAATTGTATATTACCCCATGTATTTTTGTGGAGAAACGGACACCCTAAGATTGGACAGCTAGTTTCTTAGGACTCCACAGTGACATCACCGACCTGCTTGCTATTACTGCAATGATGAGACATTTGCACCATTTGATGCTTTTCTCCTGCATGAAGATCCATTTCCCCATGCGTATGAAAACTGGCTTAACAAAACAAAAATATTGGAACTTGCACTGCTTTTTTTTTTTTGTAATATCCTTGTCTTTCAACTATGAAATTATTGTAAATTTTAAAAAACCCAATAGTTTTGGGGTGTCAAACTCATTTCACATGGTGGGCCACATACGGCCTCGGTAGATGTCAAGTGGGCCGGACCATTAAAATGATACAATACTTTGCTATAAATAACCAAAACAATATGTCTTTCCTTTGTTTTGGTATAAAGAAGCACAAGAACATTAGGAAAATGTTGAAATTTAATGAACATATCTTTTACAAAACATTTCATGAAGCACCTTACATTTCCTTCGACAAATGTGCAATTTACTTTTATCATTCACATATATGCATTGCAACTGATCCCACTGATTGTACAAACTTTAACAAGTAATTGGTATTGAAAAATATAGTAATGCACTTTAAGATTAAACAAGATTCATAAAGAAAGCAAGTTTTAAAGCATTTACACGTGCATATAAAATCTAAATGTAATCCCTGCCTACACCTTACAAACTAAGGAGAGTGCTATTAAATGTGTAAATGTGAGAGTGCTATTGATAGCGTCTGCTGTCATGGGTCTGTCTCAGTGACAGACTGAGGCTGCTGTTTTCTTCTCTGATCAAAACAGTGTCCCCTTGCGGATACTCAATGAATTGCACCTGATTAAAAATATTAATTCTGTGTCTTTAATGCATTTTTTTCACTTTTACATTATCCTGCGGGCCTGATTGAACCTACTTGCGGGCCGGTTCCGGCCCGCGGGCCGTATGTTTGACACCTCTGGTTTAGACAAATAAATTATTTGAGCACATCACTATTATACTGTTAAATTATTACCGACATTTTATTTTATTTTTTTACGAAATGCACTAAAGACTGGCACCCAAATTTCATTGTATGCAATACAATGACAATAAAGGCAATTCTGATTCTGATTCTAAACATTATATAAACAATTATTCAGTGTACAAGAAAACTTATGTCGAGCAACAAGGCTGGCACATTCCATTGGGTGGCAAAAAGCACTTCTGTGAGGTGAGATGCACATTTTCTATGCTTGTAATGCTTGCTGGTGTGTCCCCCGTCCCTGACATTTTAATGTTTGATTACACTTGTTACAAACTTGAATTGAGCCGTGACGTTGAGACATCATCCTTCCATCCCTCACCAGTTACCAGGCATAACTACTCAAATCAAGAATTGACAAACTTTGACATTACTTTAACTGTTGAGTTGGGGATAAATCAATTCGACATGCCAAGAGTGAAACGGTCAGCTGCCACGTGAGCAGAGCAGCGGTGCTAACCTGATGTAAAAGACGCCAGCTTGCGCTATGCAAGTAAATGATTTAAATCCTCATTCCCCAAGAGCAAACGAGTACTTGTTGGATTTGGAACCTCCACTTCTAACTACTGAAAAAAAATTCTTTCTTGTTGAAAATGGCTAACCTAGAACACCCAGCGTTACATTGTGGCTAGAGGTAGAATCCTGGTCAATAACATGTCGTTTATTGCTGTAAATACTTTGTAGAAAACCCTTGTTGTGGCGGAAGCTGTATCCTAAACTAACGATGCATCCCAAATTACTTTCCATGACTACTGCTCCTGCTTCGTGCATTTCTTTTTTCACTTTCCTTCAGCGATAGGCCAGTACTTGTGGTAGATTACCGCCACCTTCTTTAGCAAAAGAGCCCGAGGATGAAAGTAAAAAGAAATGCAATACAATACATCCTGATTTATATAGCGCTTTCACAACGGCTGCAGCTGTAACAAAGCACTTTACAAAACACTTAAAATAAAATAATGAAATAAAAAATAAAAGAAACACAACACCTAACATAAAAACACGGACAGTCGTGCAAACTGAACCATGTTTCCCTCAAACGCTTGTTGGTTGAATGGAAATAACATCTGACTAAAAGTATAAATAATACAAACAATGACTGGATAGAAAATACAAAGCGCGGAGGAAAGTTCTTTGCTATGAACTGCACAAGGCACAAAGATAATTATTGTATTAGCTGGATTACTGTTATTTATCTTTGGTTCTTGTGCAGTTCTTTTTCAAGATCACTTTGACGGAACGCTAGTGCGCATGCACTGTTACGTTCCAAGTATGCCGTGGAAAATTGCTAATAATTCTACTCCCTCACAGTCACAACTTGGATAGCTGCGCTTCGGAACCAAAACATGCTACTGTTGGATTTCATATGAATCCGTGCTCATTACTACTGACCCAAATCAGTCTGTACAAAAAAAAAAAAAAACCCAAAACAAAACATCTCTATCCACCAACTTAGAGAAGCTAAATAATTGAGGTTTGTTTTATGTATTTGTTGCCCTCCTGGGGAAGGAAAATCCTGCTGGGACTGGCTGACTATTTTGAGAAGCGTGAAGTCGTTTATGTAGGTTCTGTTGAACAGAGCTCCATATTACTGCTATATGACATGAGTGTTCAATATTTGTTCTATGAGTTAGTTGAACTTAAGGTAGAACCAGAAACTTGAATTGCTTGACTGGAGGCCTGAAAGACACAACACCAAAATCACTTGTTTTGACACGCAGTCTCCATGTGTAGCCCGCTCCTCTTTGTTCCTTTCTTAGGACCCCTGATCCAGACACCCAACTCAGCAGCCAGTGTGTTCAATACACGGGTCTTATAGACGGATTAATTTTAATATGCAATAATGTTTTCCTGACGGTAATGATACCAGACTTGCCTGAGGGGGAAACACCTGGAGTGTAACTGCCTCCGGTTGCTTAACTGTGACCTCAATTTCCATCTGTGAAGAAAATTGTTCAAGCTGCACGTTTGTCAGGACTAAGGGTATCGCATTTTGAAGAGCGACAACTAAGATTTATAAGCTAAAAACTGAGCTGTTGTTGTTCACCTTCCTGCAGTTTTTGTTGATCTTCCGAAGAGCAGCAGCGGGGGAGCTGCAAGAAGAAAGTGGTCTCATGGCGCTGGCCAGACTGTCTGAAATCAACGTCTCCACCGAGGGAGTGAGTGGGGCCAAAGACTTTTTTGAAGCTAAGGTACGTTGTCTTGTGCTCAGCCAGGTAAGTCATGTGGAATCAGTTTGTTCGATTTAAAAACAGCTGTTCTTTCAAGAGCTACTGAGGATTTTCTGAACCTGCCATATTTTCCTTTTGACTCTCTTAAGCTCTCTGACACCTCTTCTTATGCCCTTCTATGGAAGTAGGCAGGGAGCTTATACTTCTGCTAATGGTGTGGATTACACTGGGATTTTTGTTGAAAGAGCAAGGGGGACTATTTCGACCGCATAGATAGGAATAAATAAACTCTTCCAGAAAGTTCATTTCTTTCAGTTTCGAACCTTGGAGCTGAGCAGGGTAATGGATGTACAATACCGTGCGAAATGTTCGGCCATCATTAGATAGAGATGCTTTGCACGCAAAGAAATTGTGTTTGTGTGTCTCACCAGATGCAGGCACTGTCTGTGGGCAGCAAGTTTGAAGCCGAGATCCGCGAGGAGAAGGAAGAACGCAAGAAGCAGGAAGTGGAGAAAAAAGAGAGGCAAGCTGCCTTCAAACAGCTGCAGTCGGCTTTCTGCTCATGACGCTCGGACAGGAAGCAGACGGGCAATCCTGAAAATGCACATTCAAAAGTACATTCACGTTGCAGATATTCTTAAATGATAACACTCAAAATTTGGCACTTTATAACAAAGTTAGTTCGACACTCACTTCAATATTTGAGCAACGATATTATTAATTTTGTTTTACAATGGAAAGGTGAATGCACTACATCCGATAAGAAAACAAGTGGGGACCAGTCCAGATGCGCGGATGTCTGTGAGTGTGCCATTGTCTTGCATTTTCACCCGAAAGTCAAAATATTCATTTTGTGCTGTATTCCGTAAACACTGTAAAGTGTATGTTGTCTCGCATCCCCTCATTGGCTTCAATGTACTATTGTGTGTATTGGGTCTACGAAGTGTGACGTTTCAGTTTGGTCATGTTTTCACCCTCACCTTGTTTTTTTTTTTTTTCCTCCCTCCACAATAGCATTCGAAATGTGTGAATATTTGCAACATTCAGTATGTGTGTTTATTTGACTAATATATTGAGATATATGTGTGTGTGACAATATTGCCTCACTAGGCTGGTAGGGAAGAAAGGCCTTACAATGTTAGCGCCTGAATCGTAAGTCTAACAATACCATTCTGGCCTGAGTCATTTTTTTATCTTACTTTATTTATTATTATTATTATTATTATTATTATTTTATTTTTTTGTGCCCGAAATCATTTCTTGATGCTGGCCACCTCTGATGAAAACGCCTAACATCTGGGGTGTCCAAACGTTTTTGTTTGGGGGCCATGTGCAGAAAAATGGAAGGATGAAAGGGCCATTTTTAAATTCTTCAACTTTTTGAAACACGCGAAAGTCAGTCAGCAAGAAAGCAATTATATATTCTATATTCTTTGTATTCTCTAGTTAATTCCATCAGCTTTCTGTTAAAGGTGTTAAGGCAAATAGTTGAGGATCTTTCCAAATTTTTGGGGTGGCCAACAGCCGTCTCGCTCCCAGAGTAGATCCAGCTCTACACTAAATAGCAGCCGCCTCCCATTGCCACATTCAGAACAACAACAAAAAAAAAAAGAACAAATTGTAGTCAAGTGACCACTTTTCAAACAGTTCCATGTACTTAATGATCATCAATGTGATATCTTCATAACACATGAGCCATAGAGCACAAAGTGGAAGAAACACATTTTGCCTCTAAAATTGAATTATCTTTATTCACTACAGAATTTTGAAGATAAATTGTGTCATAAATGGTTTATTTGTATCTTCCACTATAGAGAAGTTCTACAGTAATGGCACCTATTTTTGTGACAACCTCCCTTCTCACTCTGCCCACCTTCACCTTTTTTAAAATAATCTTGCAGCCCATTCAAATATCATTTTTAGTTTTTTGGGTCTTTTTTTTTTGGTCATGTCGCTGGCCGCTGAAAAATGGATGGCGGGTCACAAATGGTCCCCGGCCCATAATTTGGAAACCTATGACCTACATCACTCCATTCCCCCCCTGAAATTAAATTTTTCATAAATATATTCCAAATTTGTTTCAGTGGGTTGTGTTTTCTAATAAAACTGAAAAAAAAAATGACTCAAGCTGTTATTTTTAGAATGGTGACTATTAACTAAAATAGCCTGAAGCGGTAGTGGGCAATTTTTCAAATCATACTGTTGGACGAATGTAATAAATATTTTGAGTGCACTCAGCATTCAAAGTCAGAATTGATTTGCTTTTCATAAATATTAGCAGTGTGTATTTTTTTTAACAGTGACATGACAACTGATACCACGATTTCAATGTTTGTTTGGAAATGGATTCATCCAGGGTTGTCCTAGCTTAGCATACGGTTGTCCTAGCTTAGCATACGGAACTGGAAGCACTTACAATCTTGCTCTTAAAGGGAAAGTCAAATTAAAAATGTGGTTTATGCGCCCCCACTAGTCCAAACACAGTCTTGTAGACACGGTAGACCACCTGTTTTCTGGGGTTGGTCATGTGATGTCCACAAGCTGAGCACTGAGTCGCTGTGACATCATTTTCAGTCGACAGCAAGTAGCAAAATGGCAGCATCCTAAGATGGATAAAAACATCGGCCAAATTCATCTTCCACATACGCAATATTAATCAGAATGCCGTGTTTAGACTTGTGGACAATTCAGAACATGTAAAGAAAGTTTTTGACTTCCCATTTAATAATGCTGCTCATGATTTTTTTTTCGCACAGCAATTGGCACTTTGTATGTCTGATTAAATTATTCACAGTTATGGAAATTTAAAACGCAGTGTTTGCTGCTGGGTGGCCTCTGTCTTCTGTTTCAATGATAAGTTAGATCATCCCAAAAAAAACAAACAAAGTCATCGGTGCTCTTCATTGCATCGCATTCACTCAAAATATTTTGGAATCCAATATTTAAATCACTGACCAGAGTCCATGTTGATTGCAGAATCTTTTGTCATCGCCCTTTGGAACTTTTTTTGTAACTTAATTTAATTGCATGTTATAATTCAAGAATTGATCAAGCGTTTCTGCATTCCTAGCTATTTTGGGCAGCTTACTTGTGTTAAGTTTACGTTGCTTCTGAACAGTGATGGGCCATCAGGACCAGGTAGGCCTTTTCTACTTACTGTTAATGTAAATTAAGGTATTTTTTTCCATTAAATCACTATATTCCATTAATCTACAGTATTCTCTTGATTTTGAAGCATTTCTCTTGAATGCACTGATTCCAGTAAGCGTTGTCAGGACCAGGTAGGCCTTTTCTATTTACTGTTAATGTAAATTAAGGTATTTTTTCCATTAAATCATTATATTCCATTAGTCTACAGTATTCTCTTGATTTTGAAGCATTTCTCTTGACTGCACTGATTCCAGTAAGCGTTCCAGCAGAACTGTGGCAGTCAAGTTCCACGTCAGTTGTGATCTGCACACATTAATCATTTGAAATTTTGAAGTCCCCAAAAGTCATCAAGTTAAGGTGGACTTTTTCAGAGATGCTGTTTATTGTGAGGAGTGGTCATGGTATGCCTTGTAATGTGTTTTTGTATATACGGTTATTGTAATTGCGACGTGATGGTATCAACAGGTCGGATAAGAATGACCAACCACCATAGGCACGGCCTGCCACTAATTTGGAGCAGTCCGTAAAAGTGATAAGTTTTCATGTGTTTCATGTCACTGGTGATCAATTTTCTTGCCTTGTTCTGTATCCCAAAACATGTTAGATATATATATAGATATATATAGATATATCTAGATATATATATCTTGCGATATCGCAATGTTTATAAAAGTTCAGACAGGTTGCAATTTTGGTATTTTAGCATAAAACATAAAGTGGGTGCACATAATTAGGTATTGCGGCCCCTATAGAATGAAGTCACAGGCCAGATCTGGCCCCCCAGGTCTTGAGTTTGACACCTGTGCTGTAAGTTTGCCTCATTCTGATTTAAAAATATGCAATTATGCTTTGGTCATGATTCTCAGGAATCTGATGTGAAATATTCAGTTAGCTCAGCATTGACGGTTCAAAACTATAGCACACTTTTACCCCTTTTCTTTCTTGAAATCAGTTGGATTTCAGGGGTGTTCCTCGTGCAAATCAGACACTGCTTACCATTATGGTGAGCCAATAGAAGAATGCTTCTTTTTTTAGTTTGTTCACCATGACAATTAGAGCGGGAGCTACTACACTTGTTGAGCGCAGAGTCTTGGCTATGTTTCCATTGCAGGTCAATTTTGATTCCCCCCCCACACACACACATTATTTTAACATTAAATGTACATTTCCAAGAGAAGTGGAGGTAACTGGGAAGAAAAAGTCATAGAAAAACAACTGTCAAACTGCGAATATGCGGAGGTTGACTGAAGTTCGAAGTTGTAATAACCATTTTCAACAAAATGGCTGATATGTCTTAGGCTATGTTCGCACTGCAGGTCAATTCCATTGTTTTTTTTTTTTTTGGCCCATATGTGATACGCATCAGATTTTTTTCATACAGTGAACAGTAGAATTCCGATTTTTTTTTTTTTTTTTTTTACATACAACGTGGGTCTCATTTGTATGTGGATATGAATCGGATATGTAAATTATGCACCTGCCTTATGAATGTTAATCCGTACACATTCCACCTGTACACTATCAGAAACACAATATGCTCTCTGCTTGGCTGAGGGAGAGCGCTCAAGAGGCTATTGACATTGTCCGTCCATCCATCAATCCATTTTCTAATTTGCTTATCCTCACGAGGGTCGCAGGCGTGCTGGAGTCTATCCCAGCTGTCTTCGGGCAGTAGGCAGGGTACACCCTGAACTGGTTGCCAGACAATCGCAGTGGCGTCATCTGTGAATCTGCAAAATGGCTTGGAGCCACAGTGTTGACTTTACATTTGACCCAATTTTATCCCACTTGGAACATGAAGCATCAAGTTGACGTGTGGTCATAGTCGTAATTCAATCACGCAGATGGAGCATTTGTTGTGCAGGGCAATGACGTGACGTCATCTTTCGTAGACCTCTCCGTGAAATGAGAACGAAAAGCATCACCTCATTGCCCCAAAATATTTCTACCTCCTCCCGCATCTCGCGGCAATTGTTAAAATGAGATTAGAAAAAGATAAACTCCTACTACATACTGGACCATATTTACTGTATGTAAATACTGTGCCACCCCCACTTTTTTTTTTTAATGTATGTCACTCGACATTGTGGTTTGTGCGTGTCACGTCACAGATGCTTTCACATTTGAAATTTGGATTCATTTTTATAATGTAAACGAGTAAATTAAAAAAAAAATCTGATTGAACAAAAAATCTGAATTGGGCATCACACCCTGCAGTGTGAACCTAAGAACTTGTGACTCTGATTAAAGTCAATAGAAGCATGGGTTGTATTTTCCCTCATGGAGGCAGTGCTTCATCACCCAACTGCTGAATTACACTTGACAATTAGTGTTTGATGTGTGCATCAGCCACATAGCCTAACACAATTACCTCCAATCTTTTGCCATTGACATGACGTTTCCACTGTAGTCTGTCTCGGGTGGAAATGGCATAGCCGTAGAGAAACCCATCATGTCAATTAGCCACACTGTTAGTCACAATCTGGCCAAACGTCGAATGGCTCGGTCGTGGCCATATTTTTGGAAAATTGGCAGCTAGCAAAGAAATACTTGTTTTTTTCACTTTAGAGACCCAAACATTTGTTATAAAAGCAATTAAAAATAACACTGAGTTGCTCTACTCATTTAACTACACAAATATCCATCCGTTGGAGCTATTTTGTGCCATAGCTGGAAGTGTAGCCTCCAAAGTAAATGCTTCATTTTATGTTTCTTTGCGTGTGTGTGCAGGATTAATAAATAAATAAAAATCGAGAAAGTGTGTTAACTTTGAAATGTACTTTCAAATCCATCAGAGTACTTACTTGCAGAAGATGCAAAGTACTCGTGGACTTTTCATGTTAAGCGGTAAAGATGAAAGAAAGAAACACTGTGTGGAACATTTTCGAGGATGCAACTCACTCGTTAGCCTCAATGTCATGCATGATAGAAAAGCAGTCAAGTACAACTTATAAGCAGCAATGTAATTTAAAAAGTGAAACCACCCATCACTCATGGTTCAATTTTCTCTCTTTTCACTCCTTGCATGTTGTACTTGTATAGCAATGAGTGACTACTGTGTGTATCACGTACCCTCTTGTATTTTCTTGTTGAAAAATGACAGTGTATTTTTTCATAGATAAAAATGGTATATACGGTATAATTTGTTTTAGCAGAGTCTTATAGGTTGTCTAACATACAAATGATCAGCGAAATATATTTTTGCGCCGCATCTGAAAATATATTCTGTAATCACACTTGCTGAATTAAATAAAAGACTAAAACATGATGAAGTGAAACAATCTCATTATTGATATTTGGGATGACTATCACGTAAAATGAATAGTGGCAAGTTTAGCAAAGGAATTTTGGGAAATTCAGCCAACATGTTAGACCATTTGCTCTTTTTTTTTTTTTTTTTTTACATAAAAACACATTTTCCATTTTCTTTTCATCATAAGCGGGTTTTAAAATAGAATATGTGTGTATATGGGATTTCCAACTTGGGGAAAATCCTGGAATTCTGCAACCTTACTCAGCAAGTATGAGGGGAGACATTTTCATGTATGAGTCATACTGTGTCCAATGTATTTTTTTTCATAATCAACATACAGTACAGGCCACTAGATCTAAACAGCCAACTACTTTCCCAGCCATCTCTGCCACACCTTCCAACACTCCAAAAAGGATTCTTCCAGGATTCTCCACCTGCTTTGTCGTCACTGCCACCTTGATGCTGTCCATGTCTTTAAAACTGGTGTGCCTTGATGACCCCCTTGAGCATGGCAAAGAGGGAGCAATTACACAGAGCCAGCACAGCAATTTTCCCTTTGGCCACTAACTGTCAGATGCTCGGCATTGTTGACACACAATGTCATGGTGAAGCTGCCACGAGTTGTGTTGCCAAAATTCTCGCTTCTTGCACTCAGTGAAGCAAATGCAGCAGGATCTCTTCATAGATGTGCTGGTTTATCGTCTTTCCCACAATGCACTGGAACTTTAGTAACAATAATGAAGAGTCTTAAAACACATCGAAAAATACTTTCTCACAGGTCAGCTCCGATGTAATTTATAGATTTAAAATATTGTTGACGTCATATTGTAATTTCTTGAGGTGATGTAGTTCGTCTTTTCATTCGCTGTAAAAGAGATAATGATGAACATTGTTCATCAAATAAACAAAATGAAAAAATACAATTAAAAATCATGAAATAGTTCACTATTCAAAAGTGGACAACAGATTAACATGTCTGACTCACAATTATGAGGTTCGGGATTCGAGTCTTCGCTCCGGCCTTCATTTTGTATCTTGACGCCTATTTTCTGTGCTCAGAGACCTGCATGTTAGGCCCACTACCACACGGGGGCAGCAATGCTACTCCATGTGGAAGTTAAGTCAATTTTTTTTTCCCTTCATGTTATGTCACTTGCAGCTGAAGACTTCATATTGCTCCTCCCACGCCCCCCAAAAATTGTCTCCTGCCAGGCTTGTTTAGAAAATATTTATTTCTTGTAATGTACACTGTACAAAGGCACCACAACTTGTGAGACACCGTGACATCTCACCCATCCCAATCATACGTTGTGGAGTATTTCCTTTTCATTCAGCCGAAGCAGCTAAAAAGGTTTTATTGAACACAGATTTGATTGTGCAGTGATTCTCCATCATCCCGATGACAATACAAGCACCCATTTATATAACACAACACACAGAAAAAAATGTATGTTTGATAAATAAATACTATGATTCACGTGATGATTTGTGCAATTGATTTTTCAAAATTAAAAGTAGTCATCTACAAATCAGTCAGGTTCATCAGTACTTTTTCATCACTTTCTCTGTTCGAACATGTCAGACAGATAAGGGACTGCCGTTGGCCATTGTCGCGGTATCTAAACCACAAAGTTTTTCATGAAACCTTTTCTATCAAAACACTCTCCACTTAAACCCAAGCTACGATGTTTCCCCGATCGCATGATTCCGTCTGTTTATTAAACGAGATCACGTGTTTGTGCGTAACCACCCCCCTTGTTGATAGTTCACATGTTTAGTTTGGGTGAAGCAGCGAGTGTTTTGCACATCATTCTCACAGTTCAGATTTTCGGGGTTCGATCTGGCCTTGCTGTGTGGAACCCAACTCTACTATTACTTTTGTTTGTTTTATTGTGCAACTAAAAAGACTTGACATTGGATGTACAATATTGAACCATGCCAGCCTCGTGTTTGATGGTCACAGATCAGCAGCATCAATGCCCTTTAAGGATGACAGTGCAGTCATTGCTTTCTGTCCCTTCTTTCCCTTACCGTACATACAAACCTTATACATTCATTTTTTATTACCTCTTTGCACACTAGTCCTACTTCTAAATATTCAATTTGCTCAATTAGAGTTAGAAAAAAAACATGCAATGTGAAAAAAAAGTGTAATTTCTTTGCTTGATCATGTGTAAGAGGCTATTTTTGGAACACTGGCAGTTGCTGACCACATTATATGCTGTTAATTTGAACGTTTGCAGTTACCAGTGTAATCTGAATGTCTTTGTTGACTTGATGGAAAGACAATAGGGCAGATGATCTAATCAAGACAAACGTCAGAACTTCTTGAAAGGTACTTTAAAGCCTTTTTGCAAAGAAATTCAGAAGTAACAGTAGTTTTGGCTGTTTTTCAAAGTGTCCTTTTTATACAGACACATAATCACACAGTATTAAAGCTGCCATAACTTCAGCTTTAACCAAATAGCCTACGGTTTGGCTGCTTGAAATGTCATAAGTTTGTCTTCCACAGTGTAGTGAAATGAACCAACTGAAAGCGCGACTGTATAGAAGGCACCAAATAAAAAAAATGCTGGAACATGGTTCTCTGCATGTGACTCAAGTGGGATTGTACAGACACTACTCTACAGTATTAATGGAAGCGGATAAGATTCAGTGACTGTAGATGTTGACCCTAGTGCATATTTTTGGGGGGGAAAAAAATAACCATCAGCAGTTGTCATGTGTGATGTCACTTGAGGTTCAGATGTGAGCGAATTTTGTGTTCCCTCATTTTAGATACACACCTCCCATTAATCGTACAAAAGTTTCCGCTGATTGCCTCCATTGCAATTAAAGTCGACAAAGGCCGCATGATGGGATGCCTGTAAAACAATTGCGAACATTGAGTGAACATGAGTTTGTGTGCAGGGGCGGTCTAATCAGCAATTCCACCCCCTCACTCCTTTCTTGGAAAAATGTTGCGGCAGACAATTGTAACACATTGTCAAAGGATCACAAATTTTTACTTGTGTGGTCAAAACCAAACTTTGGCTGGTGGTGGAAAGAACACACATCTTTCACATTTGAAGTGTCGACATGCGTTTATGTGGCTTAACATGCATGTTTTTCGTGAATGGGCGAGGGGACTGAGAATCTGGAGGAAATCAATGCACGCATACGAACTGCACAAAGAAAGGTCCAGATAGTGAAAATAAAAATCAGACACATTACAGTATTAGATTATGTGCATTCATGGAAGACAGAAAGATGAGTAGAAAGCATGGCTGCCTTACATTCGAGAGTCTGAATCTTGGCTCAGTTCTCCCAGGGCCCACGTGGCTTTTCTCCAGGTTACCCATGAATGTGAATGCAATTGACTGGCCAGTCCACCCTGCCTCAAGTTCCCCCGTTCACAAGCAAAAGCAGTATCGAAACTGGATTGATGGACTTTAATCGGAATTGGGCCCGCAGAGTGAAACACGGAAAATAAAGAGCCCCTTCAGGCAGTGGTGATTGCTCTCGGACTGCAAGGGAAGCTCGGCTTCCCCTAAAATGTCAAAGAATAAGTGATCAAACATATGAATGTAAATTTCATTGTGTGTACATGTCATTGACTAAATATGCGCTACAACGTGCTCAACTTTTGTTCCGAATCAGCTTCTTCTTACTGGTTACGACGCGACTCCCTTCTCATTCATTACCGCAGCTACGCTGTGCTTTAAACGGTGGACGCCGAGCGTCCGCAGAGCGTCTATTGCCCGGACGCTGAGCATCTCGAGAGTTCATGATAGGTTGTCCCAAAGCGTTGAACGGAGACGAGTCATTGGATACAAGCTGGTTTTTGTCCCGCCCACGGACGCTCGGCGTCTCTGGGACTGGATGGCAGTGGGAGGGTACTGGACGCCAGGCTTTTCTGCATCAGATTGGATGATCTGTCTGAGCCTGTGTGCCAGTTTGATTGACATCGAAATGAGCCAATCACTGACCTTTTAGTGTAGGCATCTGTGTGAGCAATTTTTCAATTCACATTCTGTTCTGAGTTGAGCTGGAGACTTCTCCTAATCATCTTAGCGACACTCTTTGTTGTAAACAACTAGCGACAAATTAATCTTTTATTTCTGGTGGGTTTTACTGTAGTTCCTGTAGTTGTAGAACACTAATTAAGTCCCTGGAAAATACACCTTGTTCGTATGACAGGGTCACAGATCATTTTCTTGAAAAGGAACGGAGAGTAGAATTCACGTATAAATAAACGGACACATTTTATGATGTCGGCCAAAATTGAGCTTCCCCTCTTTGACAGACCAGCATCCGCCACTGCCTTCAGGTTCATCTGGGATCATTCTCTGGGAACAGATTGAATGATTAACAACTAAAAATGATTCAACAAAAACTGTAATTTCCCCAAATCGTCTACTTTCCAGCTGACAAAATACCGTCTGATCCATATCTACCCTCCACAATTGTATCTCACGAACTGCCCTTTTGTCCCAGTGTAACCTCCTCTCCAGTATCCTTATTCCATCCTGTCGCTGCCATCACCGTTGATCTGCACAACACAGTCCTTGTCCAAAGGGTCCTTGGAGTGCATCGTGTCAAAGTGATGGTTGCTCATTACATACCTTCCGCAGGCATCCAGCCCCAAAGCGGGCGCAAAGCAACGATCAAACTGGATTTCCTGGCGCAAGTAGGAGGTCCTCTTCTGGCAGGTGTCCCCTGTTCCCTCCTGCGAGGCTGACAGGAACACCACCAGCTCAAAGTGATTGGACGTGCCTTCACGCAGGGCAGGGTAGAGGGGGCTACGGCGGTCCAGGGGATGGTAAAAAGTGAGCGGGAAGATGAAGAAGGGGCAGGGATGCTGGCCCAGGTGGTCCACGTAGAAGTCCAGGGAGGTTTGGTGCAGGGGTTGGCCTTCGTGCTCCTCATAGAGCACGGCACTCACCTTCACGTCGACCAGAGGACGCCGCAGCAGGTTTGTGGCCCGTAACATGAGGCAGGTTTGGCCCTGGTGCTGGCCCACCACACCCTGGTGGCTGAACTGGATGGCTCCGGCTCGCTTCTGAGGACAAGAGATCTTGGCCACAAATGCACCTGGTAGACAATTGAGAATTGGCAAATTACGTTCTTCATGACACTGTTTTTCATGAAGCAAAGAGGTACTTTTTGTTTGGGTTTTTGTAACACGCTTCCGAAAAGAAGGACCAGCTTTACTATTCAAGTCCGGAAAATCTTTTCTGTAACCACAACTTGTCTGGTAAAATAGACATCAAAAGATTTCTTGGCATTTCTAAATAAAAGCCCCATTTATCCATTTGAGGCTTGCACATGATGAAATGGAAAAGTGACCTGTGAGGCAAAGACTTCAACAGTTAAAGTCTCTTTATATTCCTCATTGAGTTGTGGATTTGCTAAAACACACTCAAACAGACAACTACTTCATGAGCTCTGCGCAGCCATAATGAAATGACGATAATACCAAAAGCATTAGTTAACTACTGACTAAACGAAGGAAGAAGGAGACAAGCAAGACTCCGACAGATATTTCGCCTTTTGCGGACGTGAGCCCACAAGGTTTGTGTGCCTTTTGTGTGTCTTTCATTTAGTGTTTTGTAATGCCATTTGTATTTATGCCAAGGATTTATGCCTGTATCTTTATAGACTTCGTGTCATGCTTCATGCTACATATGGATCAATATTCTGATTATTCTGAAGTGATATCAATGGAAAAAGTGTTTCCGCACGACACCTGAGACATGGCAGAGATTGTAAATGGAAATAAAACAAACTAACAAAAATGTAACATGCCCATTGTACGTTTTTGTCCATGCTTCACATCAGGGTTATAAAAGTTTTTTTTTTAAATTCTGTAGTTTTTAGTGCATGTTTGATAGTTTTTATTAGTTTTGTTTTTCAAAAAAAAAGTGTTTTTTTTAGTCTGGTTTTTGTTAGCTTAATATTAGTTTTAATTTATGGGTGGTTCTCACAAAGTATGGTCCCGGTTTGTGGCATGATAGCCCAAAAATGAACTTGTTCAAAACTAGGTCAAAACGATACATGCTTTAAATGAACGCTTCCTGCAGTGTGTTCTGAATAACTCAAGATAGTTCACTCAGCATATTGTTCGCAAAAGATTGCTGAATGTCATGGTACTTCATTGTTTCATATTGGAGCGCTTGGTGCCCGAGCACCAAGCGCTTAGCATTCAAATAATAAAATATTATTTGAATTTTAATTCTATTAATAATAGAATACATTTATTATTTTGACACCTAAACAGCTTCACTCTCTTCATACAAAGACATTCAGTTGAAAAACAATTTTAAAAAATTGTGAAAAATGTCAGTCATGTTATGTAGCGTTACGATGGAGGATCACGTGGACATTGTTCCCGTCACAAACTACGTAATGCCTGCAAATGTACTGTGCACCTTTCAAATTCTGTTGTATCAAACGCAAGAATACACTGAAGAAATAGCGCATACAACAAATGTTAAAAAAAATATATCTATATTTTATTGTACGCTTGTTACCAATAAAACTGGACACCACGCTCGACATGTAGCTTACTTGGTGATCATAGAAGAAACTAACATTTTTTTTGTTTGTTTGTTTGTTTGAAATGTTACCATAATATTTTACAGTGAACCCATTGAACTTTGGGTTTAACGTACAAAAGTTGTTCCGGTGGAAGCGTAAAGTACATTACAGTAATAAATTGTCAGGGGTACCACGTGGACACAGAAGATAACACGTGTAACGCAATTTTTTTCTGTCTTTGTGTTGTCACATTATAGAAAATGTAGGAGGCGATTTCGTGTATTGTGTTGCATTGACATTCTGCCAGTTTACTGAAAACAACTATTTTTGAAACGCATGTATGTTATGAGTATAAAGAGCTCTTCATTACATGAGTGTGGTGGCTGGTCGTGATGGGTATTTATCACCACACCAAATACATTCACACACAAATGACATCCCAAATCTCAGTAAGAATGTTTATTTTATCTCTGCAGGATGTTTGCCACATTGTAAGCAGTGAAATCTTGTGATTAATTAAAAAAACGGGAAAAAAATATTGACCCTCGTCGTGTGTCAGCGTGTGTGTGTGTGTAGGGGGGGGGGGGGTCCTATTTGTTTTAGTCGTTTTAATAGGTTACTTTTGTTCTCTTTGCTTTTCCTGTCAAAGTCTTCAGCTGTTCTGCTTGTAAATGCTTTTAGTTGAAGGGTCACCAACTCTGGTCCTCAAGGGTCCCCATATTGCATGTTTTCAGTGTGCCCCTTCTCCACCTGATTTAAATGATTAGCCCATCGGCAAGTTCTTTAGAAGCCTGATAATGAACCTGATCATTTGAATCAGGTGTGTTGGAGGAGGAAAACATCTAAAACATGCTGGATAGGGGCCCTCAAGAACCGGAATTGGTGACCCCCATTTTAGGTGTTGTGCTTTTGGTTGTGTGAAGCACATTGAGTTGGCTTGTGTCTTAAATGTGCTTTATAAATGCATTTGCCTTGCCTTGTTGAATGCAAGCTTAAAAAAAAAAACAGTCACTAAGTACTGTGTAATAAAGTATACTACAATTCCCAACTGACAGTTTGACCTTCCTTCTTCTCTGTGACCGAAAATCCATCCATTTTATAGTCTGCTTAAGCTTACGAGGGTCGTGGGTGTGCTGGCGCCCATGCCAGCCGACTTCAGGCGGTTGGTGGGGTACACCCTGAAGCAGTTGCCAGCCAATCGCAGTTCTATGACTAAACAGTAAAACAGAAATAAATCCGAAATGCTCATGTATGAAATTAACCATTTCAGGGACAGCAGTTACTACAGTGGACAGCTTATCATGTTTACAGGGTGCATGAATGGGTTAATTAACAAAAATAAAAATGGAGGACATTTTGGCTCAAATTATAGCTAGTTTTGTTCTATATATGTAAAATACAGTTTCAGTTAGTTTTCGTCTTTTTCAGTTAGTATTCCTGTTTTTATATTATTGTTTTAGTTTTTTCATAATTTTTCATTTACGAGAATAACCTTGCCTCAGACACATTCCATGAAATTGATCAACAGCAAATTTTAATCACAGATGGCTCTATGTGCCCCTAAATATATTTGAATGCTCATTTTAAAAATGTCTTGGCTTTTTTCTAGCACATCAAGATGTCTTCATTTTTAGGGGTTTTGAAGTTTTACCCACAAAAGCGTGCCCAATATGAATTTTACCATGCGTTATCATATATAGCCATGTCGTTTCAGAAAAAAAATTAACCTGTTGCTGAATCTAATCCTTAATTAAAAATATTATGAAATATATTACTAGATTACATATCACAGTAGATTATTATCATTATATTATTATGATGAAAGCCTGATGTACTTGAGTAAAAAATTACGGTAATGCAAAAAAAAAAAAAAAAAAAAGAAAAGAAAATCATCAAGAAAAGTTTTCTTGCATCTCTGTAATTATAAAATTTTGGGGAAAATTTGTTGACCGGTTTTATATTTTCCAGAGCCAAAGAAACATATTTGTTATGGGCAACTCTGTTTAATTCCAAATGTGTCTCTCACATGGGTCAAAAGAAGGGTGGAGGAAATAAATGTACCTGTGATGAATGCTTCAAGCATGAGCCCCAGCAGCATCTGCACAGCCAGCAGTGCTATGGCACTTGGACAATCGCCACTGGGGAACATGGTGCCGTAGCCGATGGTGAGCTGCGTCTCAAGGGAAAAGGAAAAAGCGGCTGCAAAGCTGGTTATGTGTTTCACACAAACCACATGCCCCTGCGGCGGGGCGTCGTGATCCAGCACATCGAGGTCTCCGTTGATGTGAGCCAGCAAGTACCAAAGACAAGCGAACAGCAGCCAGTGGGCCACAAAGGATGCGCAGAAGGTCAAGAGGACCCATCTCCAGCGCAAACCCACCAACTGTCCCCACACATCATGGAGGGCTAAAAGCCAGGCCCGGCTCGACGCTCCGAGCCATGAACCAGAGGGACACAGCGGAGGGCGAAGGGTGCAGCGCCCGTCTTTGGTGACCAGACGTTGCCTCTTTGCTGATGACAGAAGAGGGGAGGAAGGCACCTTGCTGTCCAGAGCGCTGCTATTGGATTTGGTTGTCATCTTTCCAGATCCTGCAAGAAATGAAAGAAACACAGGTTTGGTGTTTCCATTGTGCTCAAAGCTACAATGAATTACCTTAGCCCTTTCATTCACCCTGTAACCTGATAAAATGATAAGCTGTCCACTGTAGTAACCATCGTCCCTGAAAGTGTTAATCATCAGAGGATGTTCTCCATGCACATTTGCAAGCAAATAATATTTGTATCACCTATACCAGGGGTGTCAAACTCATTTTTGTCACGGGCCACATTGTAGTTACGGTTTCGCTTGGAGGCCCGTTATGAATTTTGTGCCATCACATCAATGTTTATTTGCCTCCACATATTACATACACAGGGCACAACAAAATGATGGATAACTAGTTTTAAAATCACAAGTCAAGAATAATGACTTGTTTCAACGTTGTTTACATGAATGTAATAAGGGGTTTGGTCATGAGAAAATGCATGTTATTATGGATTACGTCTGACAATTTCAAATTTTGGTTCAGATTTTCGCAAGCATCATGGAACTTGGCCTGCTTGATTTGCTTTTGCGGGCCACATAAAATGATGTGGCGGGCCAGATCTGGCCTCTGGGCCTTGACTTTGACACTGGTGACCTACACACACACACACGTCAATAAAAAGCCACCACATTTGTGAGGATATTACTTGTATCATGGCCAAGTATTGGGTCTTATTTTCTTGACCCTGTACTGGTTCAAATTTCTATTCAATGCAGCCAAATTTACAATGTCCATCTAATTATTCCATAATTTTCCATAACCTACATGTAACATGTGAATTTCCTCCTACGGTGTGTGCATGAACTCTGACAGCCAGATGTATGTGTGGCAAGCAGAGAGCTGGAGTCTTGTCCTCTCCAGAGTTTCTATTTCTATGTCAATATTGTTGCCAGGTGATTAGAGCAGTTCCCAGCTGGAAATCCGTCTGAGGAACACAGCAACATGCAGAGTAGGAATGTGTCTTTCATCTGCAGGGAGCTCGAAACGGAGCAACTGCACAGCTCCGCACTGATTTCCTTAGCCAGCTCTTATTCACATTTAATTGGGATTTCATATGTTTCTAAAGTGATCTTTGAAGATTTTCTTTCGCACAGCACATTGGACAAGATGAAAAGGTTCAGGCATCTCAGTTCAGGTAATTTTGTGCTCTAGTAGTTCACAGGTGTCAAATTCATTGTAGTTCAAAGGTCACATTGCTCTGTTTGATGTGGACCAGTAAATTCAGAGCATTATATGAAAAAAATCAAGTTTCGTTTTAATGCAAAGCCATCCATCCATCCATCCATCCATTTTCCGAACCACTTTATCCACACAAGGGTCACAGGGGCTGCTGGAGCCTATTCCAGCCGTCTTCGGGCAGTAGGCGGGGGACACCCTGAACCGGTTGCCAGCCACTCGCAGGCACACAGAGATGAACAACCATCCGCGTTCACACTCACACCTAGGGACAATTTAGAGTGTTCCATTAACCTGCCATGCATGTTTTCGGAATGTGGGAGGAAACCGGAGTACCCGGAGAAAACCCATGCTGGCGCGGGGAGAACATGCAAACTCCACACAGGAAGGCCGGAGCAGGGATTGAGCCCACTACCTCTGCACTGTGAGGTCGACGCGCTAACCACTGGACCACCGGGCCGCCCTCTCTCAAATATATAATAAGTATATACTGATTACATATTTATGTATGTGTATGTATGTGGGACCCACACACATACACAAAAATTCCTGAGGGTGTGGGGGGCTGGGGGTAGGGATCCTACCTCACGGGTTTCACCTTTTGCGGGGCATTTCTGACCCCATTCACCATGAAAAATAAGGGATTACTAATACTTCCGTGTGCTAGCCGAAGATTTGTCTGCATCATGCAGTGGCGGTTCTGGGGAGGGGCCAACAGGGACCAGTGATCCTGTGGCACTGATTCTGGACCCCCCTGTGCCCCCCCCCTCCGAACGTAGACTATACAGTAGCGCCCAGTCGCCGACGCAAAAGGTGGACCTAAAGTGCCTGGCTTAACATTCTAGTCAGACCTTTTAGTGCGCTGCACCACTGAAAAAAGACGAGCGCGAAGATGAGCAGCAGCCTCCAGAGAAGCAGTCCCACGATTACCACCATGACGAGTGATATTAAATTGTCAAGGTAAGAGCACAACACAAAACCAAGCAAGCCTGCAACAGCAGGGTTGCCGAAGTGTAATTCCTCTTCACTGTTAAAAATTGAAAGTTAAAAATGAAGAGACAGATGAAGATCCTGAGAATGAGGAAACTGAGACTGTCACTTTGTCCACGGCATGTGGACAATAAAATAATAGTGGCACAAAAAGAACCGAGTTTTTCCACATTAAATCATGGGAAAACATACCTCATGTCCACTATGAATGATGATCAGTGGCGGGCCGTGCATTTCAACCTTAGGCCTTCAGTGACGTCACTTACATACACAATATAGGCTCGTCAAGCAGCACTTAATTTCAGGAGCATTTAAAACCATCAAATATGCATTCACAATTAAGAGCAGGAAACTAAATTTACAGATAGTCAAAAACAAAAAGATGATTTAAAAATACGAAATAAAATGCCACCCAAATTACGCTGTGTGATCTGAAACAAGTCTGTCCAATAAATTGCGCAATGTCGCAGTTTCATATAAGACACCAACCAAACAATAACAAAACAAACTATTCTTTGAAAATAAAGTAAACAGATCATTTGCATTTTGAAAATCGGCGATACAACAGCAAATAACTGACATAACTGACTAACTAATAACTGAC